CTATTGTGATTGCTTTCTACTAAAAGTCACTTAAAGATCTACCAGTAGAGCTCAATCTAGCTTCTACCCACCCCTGATGTAGTACAATCTTCCTCTGCCGGACTGGATTTTACTATCTATAGTCATGTCAGCTAGAATACCATAGATATGCAGGGCCTATTCCAAAGAACCTGGGATATGTTACAGATTACTCATGCATTTCATTTTGGATTCCTTTGTCCCACCATTGTCCTGCATGACTGGGACTTTGCCCTAAAACATACCCACTGCATCGCTGCAGAAAAGCAGCATCTCTTGGGGGGTTGTGGGTGAGCGAGGACCCTGCACGGAATACCATAGTTTACATCACACCAAAACTCTATCTAAAAACACCGCATGGCAGCAAGATTATGTGTTATGGATCCCCCACATTTAAAAAAAAATGCATTGTGTACGAACCTGTAAGAAATCAAAATGACAGAGTAGCAGCAGAGGGAAACACTAAATTCCAGGTGGCTTCTATTTGACTTGCACATGTAGACAATTTCTTAAGAATGCAAAAAGAAGAAGCTGACCCAGATTGTCTAACCCTTTTCCACATGTTCTGTGGTGGAGAATCACCGGATAAAGTCATAAACCATCACACTAATGCTGGGAAATGTTTTGCGGATCTGATTCTCATACCATTTTTCATCAAGTTTAGGTTTAAGACTCGGGCGTTTTACTTTGAATTAATCTAGAATATGAATACACACAGAGAGAAGTCTTGTCTTTGGTCCGCTGAAGAATTCTGAAAGGCATTTGTGAATAGAAAATAACACAAATGGATTTAAAAGAATAAATTCTGTATTTATTTCAGCAACCCCTGCTAAAATTTCTTCTGCAATTGATACTTGGCCCAAAACATGTAATTTTTACTTATTTTCCATTTTGAGGGTAATGTTATTTGTAGTATGTGGTTGCTGGAAGATAGGTGGGGACAAATTACAGAAATCGCTCTCTTTTCTTCCCTCCGTTCTTGTATCAGGACTGAATGTATGAATGTATTACAAGATACATGTCTGTGTCAAGCTGGACTTTCTGTAAATAGACCATTATGAACTGTGTAAAACCAACCCTTTGTTTTGACTTTATAAAAAATGTAAATACTGTATTACAAAATTGCTTGCAAAATGGATTTTTCTATCTTAATTTTTATTTGTTAAGGTAATGTATAACAAGGGGTACATATCAATCTGCTGTGAAGGACATTTTTATATAAAAGATGTAGGGCCAAGAGGTAGCATCCTAGAATAGCAGGACTGCATGCTAAAGCAGTCAAACCCAACCCTTTGCCCAGTTCAGGACTCTCCTGACTCAGTGCAAGACACCTCAGTGCAGATGCGACATTAATTGTATTGATGATATCAATGTGCGTGGTCTGGTTTGTTATAAAAAATGCAGAGCTGCTATTTGTGCTTCAAGGGAAGCTTGAATAACGTCTAACACAAGAAATACTTGTGCAATAAAAGTTGCACTGATAGTGCAAGACCACTAAGGAAAAATGCAAGTCATCCTTCAGGAGTTTTAAATTTTTTAAAGAAAACTTTAAATATCTATCCCAAACTATGAAAAAACCTGAGATGAGGTCCTCATGATTCACGCTGGCAAATATGCTCCTGTGGAAGGTGACAAATGCTTGTCTTAAAATTACAATGTGGCAGTTTTTGCTATGGCCAAATAATTAAATGTAAAGCTTACTGCTACTTACTTTATTTTCTGGGCTGACCACAGTTACCTTGCGATAAAAGTCATGATTTGGGGTTAGGAATATGCATCCCATGTGATTGCTGCAGGCATCTGTAATACAAAGCATCATCCACTAGGGGTCCACAGAGTTCCTAGGAAACAGCCGTCAAGCGAAGCACTTAAGTTTGGGACCTTGTCCTCCTCTCAAAAGGCAAAAACAGCCCTTGACTTCCAACTTGTGTTGGATTCTGGCCAGGCCAGCTTTCCTGATTAGATCCAGTGTTGCCAGTTGTAGCAAAGGTTATTGGAATGTGCCTCTTTTTGAGATATTTCTAGAACTGCAGCAATAGTGCGAAAGAATGGTTTCCAGACCTTGTGGACAATAGCAAAGAAAAACAGATCTGAGTGATCCTACTCTGAAAATGCATCCATTCTATAAAAGGAGCATTAAGAAAGAGGAGACTGGTAATTGCTGGTCACAGCAAGATACCCAGGAACTGTTACCTATGCTCCAATTGTCCCTATTTTCTATTGTTCCCTTTGGGAACAGCTGCATCCTCATTTTAAATGTTGTTAGTATACCACTGACTGGTTCAAAATTGAGAAAGGAGTTTGGCAAGGCTGTATACTGTCTCCCTGCCTAGTTAACTTATATGCAGAGCACATCATGAGAAAGGTGGGGCTAGATGAATCACCAGCTGGAATTAAGATTGCCAGGAGAAATAACAACTTCAGATATGCAGATGATACCACTCTCATGGCAAAAAGTGAAGAGGAACTAAAGAGCCTCTTGATGTGGGTGAAGCAGGAGAGTGCAAAAGTTGGCTTGAAACTCAACATTAAGAAAACTAAGATCATGGCATCAGGTCCTCTCACTTCCTGGCAAATAGATGGGGAAGAAATGGAGGTAGTGACAGATTTATTTTCCTGGGCGTCAAGATCACCGCAGATGGGGACTGCAGCCAAGTAATTAAAATATGCTTGCTCCTTGGGAGGAAAGCTATGGCAAATCTAGACAACACACTAAAAAGCAGAGACATCACCCTGCCAACAAAAGTGCATATAGTCAAGGCTATGGTTTTTCCAGTTGCAATGTATGGCTCTGAAAGTTTGACCATAAGGAAGGCTGAGTGCCGAAGAATTGAGGCTTTGGGAATGTGGTGCTGGAGAAGACTCCTGCGAGTCCCTTGGATTGCAAGGCAATCAAACCAGTCAGTCCTAGAGGAGATCAACCCTGACTGCTCTTTAGAAGGCCAGATCCTAAAGATGAAACTCAAATCCTTTGGCCACCTAATGAGAAGAAAGGACTCCCTGGAGAAGAGCCCGATGCTGGGAACAACTGAAGGCAAAAGAAGAAGGGGGCGGCAGAGGATGAGGTGGCTGGATGGAGTCACTGAAGCAGTCGGCGTGAGCTTAGGTGGACTCCAGGGGATGGTGGAGGACAGGAAGGCCTGGAGGAATGATGTCCATGGGGTCGCGATGGGTCAGACATAACTTCGCGATTAACAACAACAACAAGTGTGCATGCACATAGACTAGAGTCATTCAGGGTTTATTCCTCTTCCCTAGTAAGAAAGTAAATTTCTGGTGAAAGGATGATACCCAGGGCATGGTGCATGTAAATGTGCTTGCTGAACTTAAGTTCCGTGCTGAACCAGACCAGAAATCTCTCAGGTTTAGCATTCAGGTTCCCCCACTGGCCAACCGAGGTGCCTCCAGAAAGCCCACAAGCGGAGTCTGGAGCAGGTGAGCCGCCTTTCCCTGCTCTTGCTTGTTCTCCAGCAGCTGGTACATTGCGGCTTAGTGCCTGGAGATTCTGTGTCATGCTGTGATTTGCACCTGTTGGCACACCCATCTTCCCAGCCTCTGCCCTTCCAACCCTTTTCTTCATAGCCCCCTCCAACAAGGCTCAATGGTCCTGAATTTCAGCCATTCCATAATAAGGACAACCAGATCCACGGTGGGATTAAACATTCTTAAGGGGTTTGTTGCACTTGTTTCTGGTGACCAGGAAGAGAAAGAGGGAGAGAGATGATAATGCGGTGGCGGCAACAGACAATCGTGGTTAGCTTAACCCATCTTGCTTCCAGCACTGCAGAACAGACTATTGCAAAGGAATAAATACAATACAATAACTTTGCAGAAAAGAAGCCACCCCCATTATCCACAAAACCTTGAAATTACATAGAGAGAGAGAGAGAGAATTACACACACACACACACACACACACAATGGTGGCTGGCTTCAGCACATGGTAGAGGCTTCTGCATTGGGGATACAGATTCAGGACAGACTATGACCAGAGAGCAGGAACAATTTTCTGGACAAACTGGGAGGATCCAGGGTCAGCCATTAGTGGCCTTTTGAGGCACTCAGGAATGAACGCCAGCAAATTTGCGCTGGTCTAACTGCAGGAGTCTGGGGCCATCCCATTCACCTAGGATGTACAGCTTAGAATTAAACAAACAGACAACAAATACATAATGGCTTTGATGGGATGAAGTCCTGTTGCTTTTCTGGCAACTGGCCTGAAAGCAAAATAATCTGTTCTGGGAAACCCTACCCATAGTGGAGTGATGCAGGTGGCACAGTGGTTTAAACTGCTGTGCTGCTGGGCTGGTTGATCAAAAGGTCGCCGGTTCGAATCTGAACAACGGGGTGAGTTCCCATTGCTCCGTCCCAGCTCCTGCCAACCTTGCAGTTCCAAAGCATGCAAATGCAAGTAGATAAAAAGGTACCACTTCGGTGGGCAGGTAACAGCGTTCCGTGCTCCTTTGTGTTAAGTCATGCCGGCCACATGAACACGGAGACTGTCTGCAGACAAACGCTGGCTCCCTCGGCAGGAAACGGAGATGAGCACTGCCCCCTAGAGTCAGGCATGACTGGAGGTAACCTCAAGGGGAAACCTTTACCTTTACCTTTACCCATAGTGGGGAAAGGGTATCAACTGGGAACAGCTGTGGGTATATTAAAATGCATTAACACTGTACAGGATTTTGAATTGCCAAGTGCCCAGTGGACACTCTGACAGGAACTTCAAAGGCATTTGGGGAAACACCATGAGTCTGTATCCTCCTTTTTATTTTCAACAAACTTGCAAGACGGAGCCTGATTTTTGCTTCCAGATCCCAATTCTCATGCTTGACCAAGACAATCTTCCTTCCACTTTCATTTCTTTCAGCTTTTTGAAAATAGTTATCTACATGTTCAAGAATGTCCCACTGCTTCGCATGTGACTTATTGGAAGGCTGCACTGCCTTCAAGAAATTTACATTTCTTGAGCTGTACTTCCCCTTTCTCAGCATTCTTAAGGAGGGAACATCAAACTACTTGCTTTCCAAAGGAGAGGTCAAGTGGGTCTCTTGTGACAGGACAAGAGTTCAAAGCCTCTTGTGGCACTAAGGACTGGTGTATGTTCCCCAGTCTACAAAGGCTTCTACCACAATAGGTCCATTAATCTTTAAGCCATTAATCTACAACTAGCCCATTTCCTCCGCGTGTCTGAGGCCACCATGAGCTGGCAGAATCTACTGGCGGAATTTCTTCTAATGACAGCCTCGGGTGAGTAGACAAATACCTGCATTTTTCACGTTAGACTGTGAGGGTCGTGTTGGAACTGTGCAGGCCGGCTGTGAAAGTTTGCAACCGGCTAGTTCAGGATCTGTGGTTCCTTTCCTTGCTCTGTGTGATTTTCGGTGGTACAGCTTGTCAGTGCCCTCTGAGGATGACAGAAACTGAACCTGTTGGAAATTCCTGTGAAGGACATCTATGAAATACACAGAATCCTTGCTCTCTCATTTAAATCAGGTTACCGAATAGAGTTCTGCCTCGAATGTCTTTCTTGTCTGCTATAACCATCTTTGTGGCCAGTGATGTTGCTAATGTGGGAATGGAGGGCTTTTACAAAAAATGCCATGCAGGGGAAGCAACTTTTCAGGAGGAACCACAGAAAGGGAAGGACGTGTTAATTCCCCCAAAGTCCACTCTCCTGGCAAATAAATTTGGGGGCAGGGGGAATCATCCATTAGTGCCAAGGGAATATATTTTTCTAAGCTAATTATTACCTGAGGGATGGGCCGGGGGCTAAATGTTCCCTCTCTGTACCCTGAAATCCCACTGAAAATTGCCCTCTAATTGACACTTAACCTTAGGAAAAGGCATCAGTTGGCCCCACTGGAAGAGTTTCTTTCTATGTTGAATTGCTATACAAGAAGTGTAGGGTTTTCAGAGGGGTCTCTATGCACTGTGACCCCTCAAAACTGACACCCCTTGTGTCAGTTTAGTTAAAAGCTTTCCATTGATGCAAATGTAAGCTATTTTCCAAAGTACATTTATTTATTTAAAACATTTGTATGCCACAGTACCCTGTTCCATAGGATAGGAGAGATTTTCCTCTAGAAGGGTGAGTAGGAGAAATAAGTAGGAAAGGGACAGAATTAAGAGGAAGAAGAACACATAAAACTGTTAACTTTCATCCTTAAATGTTAAACAATCTACATGGGAGGTCCATTGTCAGGTTATGCAAGGGTTGTTTAACCCACAGTGGCTGGGTTCTCATAACATGGCAACCCCGTTAGTGACTGAAAATCCAATATGGTGGCTCACATACACTACAGCTCACTGTGGTTTAAACAACCCATGGTGGACGGTTATGACCATGCAAAGCAGCTGGTATCTTTTTATGCAACCAAGTTCCCACCAAGACAACTCCAAAATCTGCAGAGCAGAGAAATGAAGGAAGCCATCCTTCTAACCTCCCTCTGCTGCTGTTTGCCTCCACTCTTCCTCATTCCCCAACTCTTCCGCCTCTTCTACGCTGCCCAGACCTTCTCCCTGTGGCTCAGCCCCATCTGCTCTTTCCTTCTTCCAGGACCTTTACGGAGAGGGTTTAAGGATAGGCTGGTCATATACATGGTAGGCATGTCATGAGTGGAGCCGGCTGGAGCCGGGGGTCAGACTAGATGGTCCAGGAGACCCCTTCTGACTCACTCTGTTTCTGTTTCTATGTTTCTCTTCCTCTGCTCCCTTCCCTGACTTTATCTACATCTCTAGCCTTCACTCATCTTATCACTAATGCAGAATTTTGAAACGCCCCCCTCTCCCCACATAAAGAAAAGAATAAGACACCGCAATATTTTATTTTTAATTTAACTCAGGGAGGGTAATGATGTTTGGTGAATGGAATCATGTATTGAAAGAAAATTGATTACATTTTGGAGTACAGTCTATCGGGAACTGTGAAGTTAATTATGATGCCCTCGTTAGTCTCTTGTGTTTTTCTTTGAGATTAATCTATCAAAGTTCATATTCTGCAAAAATTGCCATTTTAAGATGGAGATGTTAAAAAGGGCTCGTAAAAAGAAACCCACCAGCCACCCTTTTCTGTGCATTTTTCAAACTTGTTCACAGCTATCACACTTTTAAAATACTGGAGTGATTCCAAGAAATTGAGTTTAGAGGAACTGATACACAGATTCTGCAAGGTAAACATCCTTAACAGGACTGCAGGATTGCTGGCATCTAATTAGCAAGTTTCCTCCAATCACTCATGTGAAATATTGGGATCTTTTTAAGTGCAATAGCATAAAAGTACCACTAGCAGCATCATTTAGTAAAAGTGGGCCTGAGCCAGCCAGTTAAACCCTTTTCAGTCCCATTGATTTCCATGGGAGAGTTAAGCACACTTCTTCCTTCTAGCAAGATCCATTTTCTCCTACACACCAACAGTTCCTGCCCAAAACTTCAGGCGAGGAATGAGGCCTGTTAAGTTTATAATAGAACTGTATTCCAAGGCAAGGCAAAGCATGCAATGAAAAGAGGTGTAACATTTCTCCTGAAAACAAGATGAAATGTCTTTTTTGCTTGTTTGCAGTAAATTTCTCCTGCAATGGTAAAGTGTTGGAGGATGAAAAGCAGGTCACAGCAGCTCTGAAACCCCCCTTGTTCCTGCCAAGAACACCGTTTCCTAAGTTACAACCTGCTTCCAACCACCTAATCACCACTCTTCAAGAAGCTCAGTCAGGAACCTCAGCTGTGAAGTCAAGTCAAGAAACGCCACTCGCTGTCAGCCAGCTAACGCATTCAATGCCAGAAGCTAAGATAAACCCAGCAGAGCCAACACGATCCGTCAACCAAACTGCTGTCCGCTTGCAGGTGAAAGCCACGATCTCTCCTACGGTGACACCAGCAAACCTGGCCCATCCAACCCATCAAGCTGCAATTCACACAGTGGTAAAAATTACCACTATGACAGAGAGGGCAGCTGTACGTTCTGAAGGACGAGCTGACCAGACGGGGACACACAGAGTTGTAAATGTGGCAGCCACTACCTTGAAACCTGGACGACCAAATGGCCGAAAAACAACCTTCCCCATCCAGCCGGCAAGTGCAGAGAATGAGAATGTATCTGAGACCACGGAGAAGCACCCAGTGCACCTGAGTCAACAGGTGACCCTGAAAAGAGCAAACAACGCAACGCACAAGAACATGTCAGCGGTCACGGCAGCTCTTCTCTTGCCAACAGCTCCCACTGGCCCTACCCTAACCCCAAAACCTTCGCTAGCTGCGACGGGAGCTTATCATGTTTCTAATGGGACTGCAGACTGCATTAAAGCCCTCATCGGCTTGACAATGATCGTCAAAAACAGAAACACAGTAAGCTACAACTTTTTGTCCTTCTCATTCCTCTCCTTTCTTGTTTGAAAGACCGAAAATCAATTCCAATTACTCCTGGAAATTTTAATCCTGGGTCCTAAAGTTATTCTTATTTCATTATTCATTACATTTCTATTCCACCTTTTCCTCTGTGGAGCCCAAGGAAGTGCTCATGATCCTCCATTCTATCTTCACAACAAAGCGCCTTGAGTGCCATTTTTGGTGCAAAGGGGGGTAGGCTGTGAGGTAGGCCAGGCAGAGAGTCGGTGACCAGCCAGAGACTGGCTGGATTGAGATTCGGTGACTAGAACCCGGGTCTTTACAGTCCTAGCTCGGCCTCTCTCCAACATGCATGTGCCAGTCTTTCCGCTTGACAGTATGCAGAAGGCAAGGAGCCACCCCAGAGGTAAGTTTCAGCTCCTTATACTGTGGATACAAGAAAGGGTCTCCAAGGGGACAGCTGGAAGCATATGCCTTTGAAAAGTGTGGGGTTTCTAAGAAAGAGAGCGTCCATTCACTTCTCCTCTTTCTGAGCATGTGACTGCACTCCTCAAACGAGGAAGCCCCTCTGAAACGAGAGAGGTGGTGCTTTTATGCATGGGGCACACACTGTGTGCTTGTGATTCCTTGGTCACAACTGTCTGATGGGGCTTTGGATGATATTGGAATCCTCCAATTTTTCTTCCATTTTTTTTAGAATGGGGAAGATGAACTACTGAAGTGGGAAACTCTATCTCTGGTGTACTTGTGCTATAATCTACACCACAGCTCAAGAGGGTGAATACCCTTCAAAATGCTGGAAGGTTACTCAACCCACAATAATGAAACTCAGCTAAAATGTGTTCCACATGGCAGGAAAGGTAGCATTAAGTCCAAGAGGTCCCCAGCATGGATAACTAGCAAGGTGAAGGTTGCTATTAGAGAAAAGGTTTCCTTCAGAAAATGGAAGGCTTGCTCAAAAGAAAGAAAGAGAGCACTTGAACAAAGGTGATACTGGCAGAAATTAAGAGCTGCAAAACAGGATTTTGAGGAGCATATAACTAACAACAAAGCCAGTAATATAGAATTCTTTAGATCTGGGAGAAGCAGGAAACCAGCTACGGAGGAAGCAGGATGATAATGGAGTTAAAAACCTAGAAGAGGGTAAGGCGACTACAGAGGAGCTGCATAATACTTCATCTGTCTTCACTGCAGAAGAAATAGAAAAAATACCTGTGCCTAAACTGATGTTTCTGAAGAACTCTGGCAAACAGCTGACAAAGGATGAAATTCCAACGTTACTGTCAAACTGAGAGTTAACAAATCAGTATGGTGTCCATTCTAGAACTTTTAAAGAACTCAAATATGAAATTGCTGGTCTTTTAACAAAAATATGTAATATTCCTAAGATCAGCCTCGTTATCAGAGGACAGGAGAATGATGAATATAAAGTAATTTTTAAAAGGTATCCAGGGGAGATCTGGGAACTAATGGGCTGGTTGGCTTGATGTCTAATGTCTATAGAGAACATTATTAAAGATAACATTAGTAAGCATATAGAACAAGTCCTGCTGAAAAGAATCAGTATGACTTCCACAGAGGTTCGTCCTTTCTCACTAATCTTTTTGAATTCTTTGAGAAGGTCAATCAAAACGTGGGCAGGGACTGATCCTGTAGGCATTGTGTTTCGTTTCACTTCATTATTTGGACTTCCAAATGGCTGTTGACCAAGGCCATCACCAAATTTCCTGAGCGAAAGCAGAGGCCTTATAATAATACTGGTGTTTCATTATCTTTTATTACATTTCTATACAGCCAAGACATTCTGGGCAGTTCACAAGTAACATGTCAGAGATGCTGAAATTCATGCATTGATTCTATTTTTCATTCACAGAGTAACGTAGAATATTTTAATATTGATCCAAACACCACAACCTCAACAGGAATTTGTGGAATTCAACTGTCAACTTTAAACATCTCATTTCACAGTGGCTACGTACGCTTTACTTTCACAAAGGTAAGCATTTCGACCAAACTGAATGTTTTGGGATCCTAGGATCACCTTATTTGTAGTAAAGGTCTATTCCTTGCCCTTCTGCACGGCAACAGGCAGCTGACCATTTGTGAGAATTAATACTGAATGACATAAAAGTATTTAAAAGCAAACAGGACTATGAAGGCTCTCTAGGGGGATGAGAATGCTGGAAACCGTCCGCCAGGCTTTAGAGCTGGCTTGGCTCTCCATCCACTGGCAGATCAGTTGCTGGGCCTGCAAAAGAGAGACGGAAGCGTTCGGCAGTTGCCTGGCAGCTGCAGAGCCAGCTCTCTGCTGCTTTTGGGAGCCCTGGAAGGTCCCTGCTCCCCCTGCTCCATTCGGTGGAGCCCCTGGAAGGTCCATTTGCCAATGCAGCAACGAGCAAGTGGGACCTACACAGAACACTGTGGACGTGCAGAGTGAGCAGGCCCGTCTCTGGGTTCCAGCCAGCCATGCCTGGCTCCAGGGCAGGCCATTCCGTTCCGTTCCGTTCTTGCACCCCCGTTTTCTGCCCAGCAACACCCACTCCCCATATAGAAAGACCGGCTTTGGTGGATTCCGTACGTTCCTTGAAGATTCGTTCTATTTCTGTAGCCGTGCAATTCTGCTGCATGGGTGGATGGGGCCATTTCAGGACCCACTGGCACTGCTCACGTCCCAGTCCAGATGGGAACATTGTGAGCTAGCACATCCCCATCTTGACTTGGAGGGAGGGAGAGTGCGTGGCGGACGAGGTCTTGAGAGCAGGAGAGGCTTTGGGGTAGGGTGCCAGCCTGCCAGCCTGATGCCAAGAGACAATTTGGCCCCTGGGCCCAAGGACTTCCCTTCTTCTCTTTTAGCTTATGGGAGGTCCATTTCTGTAACTGCATTTGTAGCAGTTGTGCAATTCTCTCAAGACTCTTTACTGTAAGAATCATGACATATTCCTTACCCCACTTAGCGGCGAGGGTTTGCTTTGCTGTGAGATGAGTGGATAACTTGTACATTTAGGTCGTACATTTCTTTAAACCTGAAATCGTGCATTTAAATGAAGGTGAAAACAAAAGGAAAAAACAGTTATGAAAATATTTGGGTTCATGGAAGGGGAAGAGGGTAGCGTTTTGATGCTCATCATGAATTGCATACATTACAAAAAATACCCAGTAAGTTTCATGCTTCAGTTCCTGGGCCATTTAACCCAGGAATTCCCTGCAGTGAGCTTGCTGCCTGCCTCCCTCATGTTTGCTCTTTCCTCTTCCTATTAACAACCCACAAACCACTTAGGCGTGTCACAAACAGGCCATTCCTGGGTTGTTAAACAAAAGCAGAAACAACAAGCACAAGGCAGACAAGCATGCTCGTCGCTTTGCGATTCCTGGGTTGAATAACCCTGCCTAACCTGAAGGTTGTTATGCGTGTAAAGTAGGGATGGGGGAAGCTGTATAGGCCGTTCTGAAGCATGAAGGTCAAAGGCACTGCTTAGAAAATGGCCACAGTCGACGACATCTAAACCATCCTGCAAACAACCTAGGACGTGTGGGTTATTCCTGAAACAACCTGTGGTGTTCCCAACACGCGATGAATCTCACTGTGGCTTGTGGCTCATTCTCTGCCTTCTTCATCCTTGGTGCTCCAGCTGGGATCCCAGTATCCTTGGCAGCAGAAGCAGCCTTGTCTCCCCCGCCCCATTTTGACCACGATCTCTATTTGTTCATAGCTAGTTGCTCATTTTTGGAGCCTCAAAAAAGTACATTTGGGGCTTCTTTGTTTAATTGGCCCTTGAAAACTGCACAACTGCTTCGCTATTACTTCCCATCCCTTAAATGTGTGTCTATTTCTGCATGTTGCCCAAACTGTCCAATAATTGTACCAGGTAAGAGCTTCAAAAGGGCTGTGAGGAGCAGGGGAGCACCAGTGCTTGAAGACCTGAGCCAATGCTGGAAGGACAGAGGACACTGAGAAGCGTCCCAGGGCAGGCTCACTTGATCTGCTTCCATGTAGTATGTTCCCTACTTTGCATCCATCTGAAAGAGACAAGGAAATTGACTAGGCAAGACAAAACTCATGGGACAGCGCAAGTGTCATTGCAAAAGACTGGGGAAAACTTACAAAGCATTGGTGCCATTTTCTGGACTCCATTTTCCTTTAGAGGGTCATGAACCAGTGGCAGTCGCTCCAAGGTGCTGCTTGGGCATTAGAGGAGGGACTGTCACTGCAGGAAGGCAGGACAAGCTGCTAAAGAGAGGCAAGGTTTTGCTGCTCATGCCAAGCAGCTCAGCAACTGATTCCTGCAACTCAGCATAGAATCCCACCCCCACCCCCACATTTTGGTTCATGCAACAAGCCAACACGCGTGGAACAACCCCTTGAACCAGCCACGGGATGCCAGCATGGCTTGTTGATTTAAAATAGGGCCATCTGCAAGAACTAGCCTAGGATTAGATGACATGCCAGCCTCCTGGGAGTCATTCACAATGGGGTGTTGTGTGATCAGTCCTAGCCCAAGAGCAAAAGTCCGGTACTGAGGTAGGGGAGGTGTTCAGTGGCTCTGGTTCATTTTTTCAACCAAGGAAGGGGAAATGTGGATTGCACAAAAGATCCCTTGTACTCAAAGGGCCCTTGACTTTCATGCCAACCCAAGATTCATTTTTTCAAATAACGACTCGGTTTCATGTGTTTGTACTGGTTGTTTGTTCTCTTAAGAGCAGTATTATTTAAATGAAGTAAGATCTTTAGAAACTGTCATTCAGCAAGAATCACATGGCAAAGTTTCAGAGAAGCAACTAAGGCCAAATCGGAGTTTGCTAGCCCTCTCCTCTGTGCTCCAAAAACAATGGAGCCGATGGTACTGCACTGTGCAAGCCAACTCCCTCTTTAGGATAAGTGTTCAGAAGTTACGCAGACTCTTTGAAACATGAGCAGATATGAATTTCTCCATCAGCTTTCCCCCATGGGAATGTTTGCTTTCCCAGATCTCAGAGACTCGATTCTTATTAAATATATATACGGTAATACTCTGCACTGGTTTTGAACAGGAGGCCTCACCGTAAGCAGCATGGATGGCACGATCTGAGCCCCTCTGCCCTCAGCACATGGACCTTGGAGACCGTGTGCATGCAATGCACGGAGGAGGACACAGCGGCGGGCACCTTTGCTGGCACCACGCCACATGGCTGTCCTCCCCTCTTGGTGGCCATCTCCAGCCATCTAAAGACGTGGTACGGAGGAAAGAAGGAAGCCGGGGCTGGGTGGACCTGGCGTAATGTGATCTTCCTTTTTCTCTGATTTACAGAGTGGACAGAGATACTATGTCAGTATGATTGAAGCCAACTTAACAGTACCCTCTGAGCGTAAGTCCCGTACCTACGTTTTCCTTTGGACAGTTAGCAATTTGGATTTCAGCCCATCTCTGGCATTGTGGAAGCCTAGGAAAACGACTTTGGAGAGAAGTTGGCACCGTGTACAGACTGGTCAATCTAGTCTCGAGTGAATGGTGTTATTCAGTGCTGCACCCACGTGCTTTGGAGGATAAATTGTATTATTTCCCTTAGTGTTGGAGGGCCTTCTGCTCATTCTACTGAGTGGGGTCCTGAAACTGGCCAGCACATTAGAGAAGAGTGAAATTTGCACATACTTGTAAAGCACTTTTATTTTATTGCCTTCTGAGGAGCCAGGTCTCCATGGAGTCAGCAGCTTGTGCTTTCTCCGTAAGAATCAGAAGCAGAAAGGCAACATTGTCATCTACTAACCTGCCATCAGATCTTTATTAGCAGAATTAGGATGTAATGCTAAATCCTAAAGTTTTCTATGTAAGGACCAAAAAGCAACAGTCCAATTTGGCAGGCTTAAAACCTAGCATCCACGAAAAAAGGCATGACTGGAGAACAGGAAACCAGCTGATGCCCACGTCCTTGGCAGTGAGCATCACTGAAGACAGCTGGACTTTTTGCCTTAGTCAATGCTCAGAACATTTGTGCTGTGCAGATCAAACCTGACATGAAATTAATCTGATTGTATTTCACACATCTGCTTTTTTTAAACTTTCTGAATACTCATTAGAGTGTGGGCTATGCAAGGAGAAGGGATTACTCTTCCAACGCCCCTTCCCAATATGGCACACCTAGTTTTGATGAAAAGGCCCTTCATACTCAGCTGTAAATGGGACTTCCCTTCCTGGGGCTAACAGAAGAGGGGGGGGGGAGGTCCATCCGGGCTGTAGTAATTGATCCCCTCCCCCTCCCCCCACCTGAAGGCCTGCATCTTTGATTTCTAGGATGCAATTCTATGTAACATGAGACTGAAAAAGGCCTGGAATTGCACCTTGATAAGGTTAACAGCCCAACGCCCATGCAGCAGCTTGTCTAGTTACCGTATCTAATATAGCACAATTTTGTTTATCTGTACACTTCAGGTATACAGTTCAGTGGAATTAAAACTGGCCAGTTCTTTTCAGCTCCAGTGGGGAATTGCTTTAAGTGCTTCAGCAAGCAAACCGTGGACTTGGCCAACAATTTCCAACTGGCGGCTGTCAATTCCCAACTTCAAGCCTTTGATATTGTTGACAACAAATTTGGGAAAGGTTAGTAAGTATGCCGTCGACGTGGTGGGCCTCCTGTCTTGGCGTCCGTGTGTGCGACTGAAGATTTTAGCCCTTTTCTTGCAAATGAAGGAATGCCAAATACACGGCAAGCGGCCAAGAAGGGTTGGGTTATATGTAAGCAACCTCAAGGGAAGGGCTGACCCTGGTTGCGGGACTTCTCCTTCCCACCTGGTGATCCTGCCAATGCGCTGGGAGAGAGTGGAAGGACCAAGATGTCACTTGCCCACCCTCCCCCCCACTTTTCGCTCTGCCCTGGATTTCTTTCCCTTTACCCCTTTGCTCTGGGGGAGACTGCAAAACTCAGCTTCACAGCCTGCTTTCGAGCGCCCCATGTTGGCAGCCACTGGCAGCTCCTCCAAAGTGCCCAAGCCTTATGCTCCAGTCAAAAGCTACTCATGGCCCCCTTTTCAAAGGGATCCAGCTACCCATCGGAACTCCTGCTCCATAGATAAAAGGCTGGTGGTGAATCGGACACAGTTTGCAATTTTGGAAGGAGGGGGAGGAAGCCAGTACCAGCGGCCCTCAAGTGCTGCCTGGGAGCAGCTTGGCAAGAAAGATAAATACTTGTCACTCTTGCCAAGGGGTGTTGTAGCCCATATCCCGTGAACTGTGAAGGAAGGCCGCTGCTCAGTGTGAGTAGGCCATTGGTTTGCCTAGCCCAGTACTGGCTATCCTGACTAGCAGTAACGCTCCGGGATTTCAGGCAGAGTTAGGTTCCTCTGCTCTTGCTGCATGAGGCAGCGGTATGTTGAGATTCCAGGAACTGAATCTGGCCCTTTATACATGCTCTGCCCTTGAACCAGGCAGCCTCCCAAATGGGCTGGAGAGCCATTTCCAGAGATCTGGTCCTAGGCAAGGAGAGTCAAGGCATCACCTGCCTGGGAACAGGGTGGAAAGGGACTTCAGAAATGGGCTGACAGCTGGAAACCACATGGCTGGGGGTGAAGAGGGAGAACTAGGCAACCTCACCCCACTGGCAAATGTTTCAGACCAAGGGAAATATTAGTGGTGTTTATTGCCCTCAGCAGCACCCGCCTGGTCTTCTGTCATTCTCATTCCAGGAGGTGCAAGCAGCCAGTTTAGTCCACAGGGCTACCACAGATCTCAACTGGGCCACAGCTCTGTGGTAGCACATTCTTCTCCAGTTCCAAACATAATCTCTGGTTGAAACTGGAAAGGTTTGCAAACTTGTTGTTGTTAGTTGCGAAGTCGCTTCCGACCCATCGCGACCCCATGGACAACATTCCTCCAGGCCTTCCTGTCCTCCACCATCCCCTGGAGTCCACTCAAGCTCACACCAACTGCTTCAGTGACTCCATCCAGCCACCTCATCCTTGCCGCCCCCTTCTCCTCTTGCCATCAATCATTCCCAGCATCAGGCTCTTCTCCAGGGAGTCTTTCCTTCTCATTAGGTGGCCAAAGTATTTGAGCTTCATCTTCAGTATCTGGCCTTCTAAAGAGCAGTCAGGGTTGATCTCCTCTAGGACTGACCGGTTTGATCGCCTGGCGGTCCAAGGGACTTGCAGGAGTCTCCTCCAGCACCACAATTCAAAGGCCTCAATCCTTTTGCGTTCAACCTTCCTTGTGGTCCATCCTTCACAGCCATACATTGCCACTGGGAAAACCATAGCCTTGACTGTACGCACTTTTGTTGGCAGGGTGATGTCTCTGCTTTTTAGTATGCTGTCTAGATTTGCCATAGCGTTCCTCCCCAGGAGCAAGCGTCTTTTAATTTCTTGGCTGCAGTCCCCGTCTGCAGTGATCTTAAAGCCCAGGAAAATAAAATCTGCCACTAGTTTGCAAACTGCTGCACAAGAACTAACTTTAGTGTCGCTTTCCGTATGAGTTGGGGAGAGAATGTGCCGTGCCACCTGTCAGATGGCTAAAGCAGGTTCGCGCCTTGAGCGGAGCCAACTGGAGCCAGCGGGGTCAGACCAGGAAGGCCCTTCTGACTTGCTCTGCTTCTATGTTTCTAATGGTGACATGCTCAATGTTTCGGATAATTATCTGTAGCTGAGCAGAAAACTGCCATGAAAGCATATGATGTTTGTGTAAGAGGCCCTAACGTCCTGGCTTTGCTTGCAGAGGAAGAGTGCGTTCTTGACAGAAACAAGAAGCTGATCCCTGTCACGGTTGCCCTCAGTCTCGCAGGGTTATTTTTCATTGTACTTGTCACCTGTGTGATCTACAGAAGAAAACCAAACCGAGAATATGATCGCATCTGAATCACAAATTTTTCCCAAGAATGTTTGCAGAAGCATATAAAAAGGTTGAGAAAAACAAAAGATTCTACTTCTGTTTGTTTATTTTGCAAATAGGTTGTTGCATATTTCAAGGTGCTTTTAAAATTTTTTCTATATGTATATCCTGCTTTCTACCTAAGCATGAACTAGCAGTTACCTTGTTTTGATTTTCTTTTGTTTTCTTTTTGTTTAGTTTTGTTTTTGGAATAACAATCTTTCAGCATGGTACTTTTACTCGATAAAAAAGTGAAGCAAACAGCAATTTAAATCAGGGACCTCCAACCTTTCTGGACCTATGTTTATATTTGGGAATTAGAGAAACTGCTGAAGGTATCACTACAGAATGCCTAATCAGGGGATTACCACTTTGGTGTCTACCAGTTTTGTCTATGGCTCTTATTCAGCAAAAATGTTTGCTTTGTATCTACCAGACACAGGAAAATCTCTTCAATAAGAGGATGTTTGATTCAGCTAACAACCTCTGGAGGAGTACAGCTAATGCCCTCCTTAAACATGTTTTGTTAATGTCCAATGGTTGCTTCAGTCCAACAGATTTTACACAAATAAATTTTGTACTGGGATAGTCTTTAACATTTACTGATGTATACACACTTTAAATTATTTAGCTGCCTCATAGAAATGAACATATGGTAGTGCAAATGGATTCTTTGTCCACAGCATTGGATGACTAATATTACAACACACTTCCCTCCTAGAATATAATGGATTTGAAGACCTTATATGCTTTCAACACTTGAATGGGGTGGCCTTTCGGTGCCATCTTAAAGTGAATGCTTATTTGTTTATAGGGTCTGCGTTCACTGAAGTCTATATATAATTGCTAGAAAGATGCAGACACCCATATACATGAAATTGTTTTCCTTAGTAACCATTTCATTAAACCTTGTGAGAGTCTGCAGGCATACCCTTTTGAGGATATCACTGGAGGTGCCCGTGGGAACTGAACTAGGAATCCCATATTTAAATATACATCAAAAGCCAGAGATGGCAGGCACCATCTTTAAAGAAGCAGTCAGAATGCCTCTTCTGAGAGAATGACCTGGTTTCGCTATGGGCGATTCTTGGGTCAACCCTGAGTTGTTTCAACTCTAAACATTTTGAGTTGAATGTTTGCCCCTCCAAGATTGGAGGCAGCACTCAGTCTTTGGAAGGGGGAATTGGTGATCCATCCGCAGACTTATTCCCCTTGCAGTTGGCCCTAATAGAAGCCTGTTGGCTGTCTCTCTGAGGATGAGAAGGCAACCTTGGTGGAGGAAAGGGCGTGTTCCAGTTGGTGGGGACGGGACTGAAGAGACTAGCACGCGAGCCATCCTGAGCCTCCTTCCCTTCTCCTGGAAGCACCCTTGTTAGACAGGCGGAACATCTGGCCTATGCAAACATACAAGATTGCCTCTGCCACTCCTAGCAGCCTCATCTGGCAGGGCATGGACTGCTTGGAGGTCTCCTAGTGGTGAAGGTGCAACGTGTAAGGAATGAAATCCAAGCAGTGACGATCCGGGAGGCAAAGTACCAAGCAGTAATAGTGTAATACCTTCTTGCAAGAGCGGGCACCCACCACACAGGCAGTGCGCTGTTTGCACACAAGACATTGCTTTTTATTCCCTTTTCCCGGCTCGCAGACCCTACCTCTTTTCTCCCATTGGCTGGGTTGCTAAGAGTTTACAATCTTCACCGTCCGCCTACATCATACCACTCCTTGATATGTTCCCCCTCCCGCTCATACGTCCCGTGTTCATGCTAATGAGCTCATTACCTATGAGAGGTGTGTCAGTTATTATGCATGAACCTCTTAAGCGTGCGCACTACCTTCCAAGAGTTCAACAGGTTGGCTTGGCCTTGTAGCCTCTCACTTGACGCCAGCTTGCTTCTTTAATCTTGTGGGAGGATGAGATAGGACGAGCAGGCCTTCCTCCAGGCTCATTACCGCCAGTTGTAAAAGGCAATCAATTTCCTACTCCCTTCCACAAAAGGTGACAGTTTTACCACTGCACCCCAACTTCACCCCCCTTGTCTTCTTCAGGACTTTGATGTAAGAAGCACTATTACTTTTATTACAACTCTCTGCAAGGTTCTGTCCTCAGGCCCTTTGGCCTTAGGAAGTTTCAATGATCCTACCCTAGCCCTTTATTCCACCCTTTCTTCAGTTTTCACCTTACCACTTAGTAATTTTTCATTTCTCACAAATGGACAGGATAGCACCTTAACAGGTAAATAAACACTGCACCTGGGGGCAACCCAGTGTCCACTTCGGACACTACCTTTGTGATGGCCTCTCACTGCCCACAAGGCCCTCTGAAACAAGAAGAAGCAGGGCCTCATCGCTTCTGCTCAGGGATCCTCAGACTGGAACATGGAGAAAACGCCACACTCCACCTTTCCTTGGCCCTGGGAGCAGAACCTGTCCTCTAAAAGCACTGGGGGCTTTTCCAGGCATTGTTAAGGGCCAGGGCCCGAGGTGGCCCAAGACAAAGCCAATTAGGCTGGCCCTACATCAATGCAGTCCTGAAATAGCCAGGAAAAGTAACAAGGATATTTCGAATTTATGGAGATGATTGAAAAAATATGTTGGGAAAAACAGGTATGCTGTTGGAGAAGCAGTTCTGGTGTCTGTTTTACTTCTAATGGAGTTGTAAAACTGCTGTGCAAATTTACTGCCGAAAAAAAGAGCAAATTGAGAAGGCTATGCTGCATTACAATAATACAGGAGGTGGCTAGATGGCCTTGGGAGTGTCAAGAGTCACACTTCCAGGTTCGCAAAACAGCTTGCCCATGGAGCTGGGACTCTGCGCTCAGACTAGAAAGAGCTGCTTCTCTGAGGCTGCAGAAGTGACCTAGGAGAAGGGGGTCTAGGGGGTGATCGAGGGGGTTGCGAGGGGAGGAGGCTGGAGCCATTGAGCTGTGATGTGTCTCAAGAGCATGTTGCCCCTCCGATCCTGCTTCAAAACGCTACACATAAACACGTGGAACTGGCAGGCCAGTGGTTTTGCAGGACGAGAGAAGTATGGAGACAACCTTAATCTCCAGGCTTGTCCTACCTAGAACAGAATGCCTGTAATCCTCTTAGTTTGGAGGGTTCCATGCATCCCTATATATGTTTAGACAGAAAAAAGTCCTATAGCTCATATACCCCACCCTCCTTGGAGGCTCTGCTTTTCAGAAAGACAGTTGTGTGTTTAGAATGAAAAAGGTCCTACAACTTCCAGTGTCCCCAGCTAGCCGTTCTGGTTGGGGAATGATCGTCTGAGAAAGGCTGGGTGTTCCCCTATTCCTGAAATCAAGGGCAGTTTTTCTGCCAAACCATGCACAGGACTGGACCCGTAACTGATCGATTTAGTAAACAGATTTATATCAAAGGTTTGTCAAAAAGCACTTTTCATGTCTTGAAGGATCCAACCAACTGCAACATTCTTCTATTTTACAGCTCTTTGCTCCACCCAAGCAGTTAATAGTTTCCTCTTGTTTAGAAGCTAGGCATAATCATATGCCTGAAAGGGCATATTTTCTGTGTTGCTTGCCTCAGATATATTGTTGGCTTCTAAAGAAGCATGCTGGTAACAGTTTCATAAAAGAAATTAAAAGCTATTTGTAAAAAGTGTGGATTTTATAGAGATTTCCTTTGACAAAGCTGTATTTAAAAAGGCAATTCCCCACAAGCATATACTTAATTTAGCTGCAGGAATGGCCCTTTTAGAAAGGATCAGAAAAGAAAAGGACAGCTTCCTGCATTGCTCTTGATGCACAGGAAGGGCCCAAGTAGTTAAACAGTATGTTTTAAGAAGACTTTTGAAGGAAGGAAGAAGGAAGGAAGGAAGAAAAGAGGCAGCATCACAGAAATATTCTGGGAGAAAATTCCAAGCAACACCTTTGTGACTTAGTCTTTGTCATCTGGTTAGAACTTTTTTTAATTCAACCCTTGTTTTTAGTAGCTACTCTGGTTTGATTCCCTATTTCTTGCTGCTTGTTTATTATGTTTTCCTGTCTTGTAAATTAGTATGGATTTTTGCTCAGCTGATTGTATGGTTTAATTCTTGCTTTATGGGTTTTATGCTGGTTGCTTATGGTGCTTTTTTGTAAGCTGCCCAGAGAGCCCTTGGGTTATAGGGCAGCATATAAATACAATAAACAAACAAGGAAGGAAGGGGGAAAGGTGGAACTGATTAAGGGAGCAGAAGAGTGGAGTAGTGCTATTTATGGGAAAGGTAGACCCATAGGATAAAACAATGTGCAAATTTGCATATGCTAATTTACATATGTTCTAACGCTTCCCTAAGTCTGTTTAAGGGGCCCTGTCTCTTAAGGACACCTCTAGTGGTAAAAAGAGGTGCATGGGAGAGGTTGATTTGCTTTTGGAGCCATTTGCTGTTCTGTTGGTCTAGGATATTTGCACAGCTCTCCTCCAGCACCGTGTCTCACACTGATCAATCTGCTTCCCTCAGGCTTCCTCACTTTCCATCTTTCACACCCATACATAGTGCACAGAATAATGACAGTGTGCATCCTTTTGGCCTTGGTATCTGCTGAAAAGCCCTGGATCACCATAAGTGAGAGATGACACATAATCCCTTCGATTCATATCCATTTGTAACCCTATTTCATAATCTTTTCTTGCTTCTTCAAAGGCATTAAGGGTTTCTCAGGACTGCTGAAGGAATGCATAGCATGCCATCTTGTGTCCAGACACTTGTACTGCCGTTCCAGGCAGGTATTCAAAGCATTGCAGTTTTACAGTCATGCCTAAATGGAGATAGCATAAGATGCAATCCTATGCCAGTTTAGACAGAAAAAAACACTTTATAGTTTGCAACAGCCAGCATGCTGGGAGCTATAGGTCCTTTTTCTATTGAAACATGCATAGGAATGCACCCTTAATCACTACTTGAAGGTATCTAAAAGTACAATCCTATCCATATTTATTTATTTTATTTATTAAAACATTTCTATGCCGCCCCATTCGCCGAAGCCTCGGGGCGGCTCACAACATAAAGTTAAAATACAAAAAATAACAATATAAAAAATAACAATATAAAAAATAACAATATAAAATAAGTAACAGTATAACAATATAACAATATATTTAGACAGAAAAATGTCTTAAAACTCCAAGCACTCTTGGGAATGCTTTATTTATTTATTTACCAAAGTCTCTGGACAGCCTCAGGTCTCAGGATTTGTAGAGCTTTTCTAAGAATTGCACCCAGAAGATATTTAACAGTGCAGACCTAGGTGTGTCTACTCAAAAATAAGTCCACTGTCTAAGCTACAACCATCCTAGAGACATCTACATCAATACAAGTCCCATTGAGGTCAGTGGGACTTACTTAATAACATAGATTTTTATTCTATATTAAAAGTGCACAGGATTTTTGTTCTTCCAGGATACTCATAGGATGAGAGACAGCGGTTCCTAATGGTTAGAGTGTTGGACCCGGGAGATGTGGGTTTGAATCCCTGCACTGCTGGGAAGCTGACCCGGCAGCTTTGAGCCAGTCACTGTCATTCAGCCTAAACTACCTCACAGGTTTGTTGTGAGGCTTATGTGGGGCAGACGACCAGGATTATGTGTGTCCCTTTGCCTTACTTGCAAGAAAAACGGGGGGATGCAAAACCAAAAAAATTACTGCGCGCCGTTTTTCATTAGCCAGAACACGCGACGGCCGGAACAACTTTTCTTTGAAAAGCAGCTTGGACGTTTTCCTGTATTAAAAGGAGCGGTGACTTAAGTGCCGCGATGCCGGCTGAAAGGCCCTGGGATCGTCCCCAGGAGGGGCAAAAGCTGCCGGAGCAGCGCCGGTGCTCGGTGCCAAGGGAGATCGGCGGCTTAGGTCCACAGGGCTGGGCTGCAAAGGGCCCCTACTCGCAAAAAGTGATGCCTGGCCCGCCGAGAGGGGGCATGTGGTTTCTGGCGGATCGGCGGGGGAGAAGCCCCAGTGGGCCAAAAGCCGCGAATCCAGGGGCTCCGGTGCAGCCGGGGGCATCAAGAGATGCGTCCGTCTGGGCGGCAGGCGGGCCGGGCAGAGGCGCCGGAGACGTCGGCCGAATGCAAGGCGGGGGCTCCGGCCGGCGCCCCTCCGGCCCCGGCGCGCCCGGGGTCCGTTCGCCGCCCTGCTCGCGAGCGCGGGCTCGGATAGCAGCCGGGAACTCGCCCGCTCCCCAGGTGAGGGCCGCCGCTCCGCCCGCCGGTGCGCGGCCTCGGTGCCGGGCCTGCCGGAAGGCCGAGCGGCGGCCCGGCCTCCCGGCCCGCCCCGTCGGCCCGGCCCGGCCCGCCCCCAGCCCGCGCAGCC